GGAGCGGAGCGGAGCCGGGCCCCGGCGGGGGCGGTGGCGGAGCCGGAGCCGGAGCCGGAGCCGGAGCCGGAGCCGGAGCCGGAGCCGGAGCCGTGCGGGGCCGGGCCCGGGCCGAACCCTCCCGGCGGTGCCATGAGGGGCGAGCCGCTCGCCTGGGCCCCGGGGCCGGCTCAGGCGGCCGCGCTGCTGGAGGAGGCGGCCGATCTGCTGGTGCTGCACCGCGACTTCGCCGCCGCCCTGGAGCGCTGCGAGGCGGGCTGCGACAGCCTGGGCCCCGGCCCCGAACCCGGCACCGAACCCGGCACCGGCCCCGAGAGGTGCGAGCGGTGCCGGCGTGCGGAGGGGACGCGGTACCGCTGAGATCTGCACCAGCGCCGGGCGGGCTTGGAGCTTCAGGCCATGCCTGCCCTGCTCTGGGGTGGAAAAACAGCATCATTCTTATTTGACAACAAGTATACATGTGACGGTTCGGTTCTGCAGCCCGAGCAGTCTCAGGCTCCCCTCCCTACATTTGCAGTGCCGGCTGTGCTGCTCCATGACCCTACATAGCTGTAGGGTCTTATCTTTTCTTTTATCCTGTCGATATTTACATGTTTCATCTATGCGTGTTTGAGAGAAATGGGATGTGTCCTTCCTTCTCTCAGAGATACAGTCACCGTGCATATCCTCGGAGGTTGAATTTGCCTTTCTGTAGGGGACAAGTGGAGGGGAAGCAGCTGCCAGAGACCTGTGGAGTACCTGGGCTTCACTGAAGCTCACTGGAAGGGATGCAAGGGGAAATGCGGTTGTAAGAAGCACTTATTTAGGTGTCTGTTCCTTACCAGTTTTGCAGAAGTGAAACGCTCCCTTTGTGTTGTGGGGATTCAGGCGCTGGCTGAGATGAACCGGTGGAGAGAAGTTCTGTCCTGGGTCCTACAGTATTACCATGTCCCTGAACATCTGCCTCCAAAAGTTCTGGAGCTGTGGTGAGTTTCTGTCTGTTGCTGTCAGATATACACAGATATACACACAGGGTTTGCATTGGGTTTAACAGCAGGCCAGGCTTGGGTGTTATGTTGTGGAGGGAGCAGAAAACAGAAGAAAGTTTCCCTGCATCCTCAGAGCAAGCTCCTTGGAAAATCATAGCTTAGAGATAAGAAATGGATTGTGAAATGGCGAATACAAAAGGAATTTAACTTTCCCCTCTTGGAAGACCCTCTTATCTATCTTCAATATTAGTGGTTCATTTTCTTTTAGTATCCATAGACCAGCTTTGAATGTAAAATCCCTCAGGGATTGGTCAGAAAGTAGAATTCCCTTGGTAATTGGTGCAAATTGTAAAACCCTCAAAAGATATAAAAACCCCTGTAAAACAATAGCCATGGGTATATGCTAGATTGGATGCCTTCATAGAATAAACCATGGATTTGTGCCTCTCTGCATATGCTGGTCTCTTTTCCCCGCTGGTCTGAGAGCTCCCCACGAGCCAAAATTCTGTTTGGGCAAGGCTCGGGAATTTGCTCCGTTCACTGAGGGCTGTGAAAGCAGCATCAGGGATCCCAAAGAGACCCCGAAACCCCACCAGTGACATTATGTGATGTTTTTACTTTGCGTGGTGTAAGTGAGATCTGGGACAGGCCTGTTCTTGACCTGGGTGTGCTGGAGTGTGCCTGCAAGATTGCTTCATGGTGATCAAGTCCAAAAGGGGTGATGCTGAGACAGCAACATCAACAGCTGCACCTGTTGCCTGCCTCAGAATTCTCTCTTTTGATGTAGACCTTGCCCTGGCTATCAGGGATGTCAGCTTCGACAAGGACTTGTGTTTTTCTCACATTTGTCCCTTTCATTCCAGCATGCTGTTGTACAGCCGAGTGGGGGAGCCGCAGGTGATGCTGGAGGTGGGCAGCAGCTGGCTGAGAGCCCAGGCCAACCAGAGCCTCCCTGAGTTTGGGTCTCTGCTGGAGCTGTACCTGGCGCAGGTGCTGCTGCCCCTGGGGCGCTTCGAGGGCGCGGAGGAGCTGGTGCGGGGCTGTGCCGTGTTCGACAGCCAGCAGCAGCTGGAATTCCTCAGCACCATCCTGGAGAGCCGCTCTCGCTGGGCTCAGCGGGAAGAGACACGCTCAGCTGCTGAGGAGCAGCAAGATCCAGGCACAGAAACTGTTCTGGGTGGGCTTTCCCTCTGTTGTTTGTGCTCTTTTTTTACAGTTTCATTTCAAGTTGGTCCCTTACTAGCAAAGGGTAGCGGGTATTAACTACGTATTAAGAACATTGCCGCGATAAACAGGCCATGAGAAAGTCCCGTTGTGTATCACAGCAGGAAATTAAAGATTTGGTGATGCCTTTGCAAAGCATATTTAGTCTCTGCCAACATCAAGAGATGACAATTAATGTCCAGGATCAAAAGCACTGTGGGGGTTTTGGAGGGTTTTTTTAAGGTAAAAAAGGAAAACTAAGACTACCTGGCAATCCTATAAGGGTGTGTTTTGTTGGCTCTGTGTACAGTTTGCTTCATTTCCATTTACAGTGGAGTCCAAAGTAGAACAATGCCTGTCTAGCATTTAAAGTACTGCTTCTTCTCCAGAGCTGCAAATCATTTGATGTTTTCTCCCAGGACAGAAGCTGGCACTACTGTGGTATATGATCATATTGTAGTAAAGTAGATGCCTAAAAAAGAAGTATAATGAATTGTATTACAAAATTGTACTGTTTCTCTGTTCCATGTTATATAAAAAAACTCAAACCCAACCCAACTCTCATACAATCAGATTTCCAGTATCTTAGTTTCTTATTGTCTATATCTGTGTGATTACTTTTTAAACTTTACTTTGCCCTAACAGCCTTTCTGTTCTTGTTTTCCAGGAGTGCTGTCCCAAAAGCTCCTGACCATGTTTACCTTGCTACGCAGAGCACTGAGGTCCATGTCAAACCACTTCTATTTACTTCCTTACAAGAAGATGCTCTTGGCTACTTTTTTGCTGTACCTGGTGGTGGTGAGATTAGACCCAGGTATAAGATTAAGATTTCTAATTTTTCAAATTCCATTAGGTTATGGAGAAGAAATGGGTTGCTTGTAATAAATTTTCTCTGTGTAAATGTCTCAGGGAGACACAAAATCTGGGTGACTAGGAACTTAGTATGTCTAATGTTTCCAGTTGCAGTCCATGGAGAAAGATGAAGCTCCACAAATGCCAGTTTTTTGCAAACTCATTCCAGCAGACAAAGACTCTGAGAGGCAGGCAGAGCTGTCCTAGTCTCAGCCTTTTCCTCATTGAAGGAAGGAAGAGAACTAGGTTAGTTAGAACCTGGTTAGTTTTACCTGGTTAGTTTTACCTGGTTAGTTTTACCTAGTAAGTTTTACCTTTTTGCTCTGCTTTGCAGCTTCTCCTACATCACTGCCATTCATTTACAAACTGGTCCAGCTCTTCAGACAGGCTTGGGCAGCTGTGCTTTCTCCAGTCCACAGGCCTCCAGTTCGGGACTAAGTGTCTTCCTCCACTGAAAGTGTCACCTTGTTTTGGGGATCTTCCCAGGGAATGTTGAAGTCTGAGATGACCACCTGTGGACTCCTGAAATTTCTTCAGACAGGGAATGGTGGTGTATGAATTTTGAAGCCACAGCAAGTATTCCTGACATTTTGCTTGGTCCTGTCCAACATTAGGGTAAAGCTACTCCTTCCATGTCTGCAACTGAATAAGAACCCTCCTTTTCAAACACTTTGCTGTGGATGTGTCTGTTGAGTGAGGGTTGTGTAGCCAGTTATGAACTATGGAAGAAGTTCTCATCCTTGCAAGTGCTGAGCAGTTCTCTGAACAAGTGCAATAGTGTTCCTGGAGCCATGACTGCAAAAGGCAACAGAGTACCAGTGATTAGGGGAATCTTCTGTTTTGCCTGAAGGCATCTGAAAAGCCCAGTTCCTGCAGCATGGGATTTAGGACAAGCACATGGAAGAAAAAAACTGGAGAAAGTAAAGCCTACTGCATTTTGAAAGCCATGGTTTCTCTAGTGACTGATGCCTCTTTGGACAGGCACTGGATTTTAATCATATTTAAGCCAGAAAAATGAGGTGGGTGGGCCACAAAGACTGTTCTACTGTACCTACTCTTCTTAAATGCACATTACAGCACTTAGTGCTTGCCTGATGCATAGTCGTTCTTAGATGCACTTGGTGGTGGTGGTAAGGAAGTAGACTTATTTTTTAAAATCATATTCTATGTTATTGTCCTCAGTTGAATAACTGAAGTTGTTTCTTTGTTTTACTCTTTCCCTACCTCTTGCTTTGTTTATGTAGATGTCAAAAAATCTCTCTATATATGTAGAATTCCTCCCCAAGTCCCCAGTGTCCAAAGTCCTGGGTTAGATGGGAATCATTTAGCAATGCTCTGTCATTCAGAACAAAAGTTTATTTTTTATAGAAAGAGAAACTTCTCTGACATCACAAGACCTCCCCCATATCAGTGACAAGTAAATTGTTCCTCTGCAGATCTGTCACCAGACCAACTCCATTTCTGACCACTTGGGGCAGAAATTTGAGGTTTGGGGTAGAACATTAATTTCTCCTCCATCCATTCATCCATCTGTCATCAATTGACAAAGGGTAAATTCCAAGGAGGGAGCACTAACCTAACGAAACACTGCTTTCAAACTGCTGTGTGCTGAAGGGGACAAATTAAAGGCCTCTGTGCCAAAAGGATGTCAACTCACTGACGGCAGCCCAAACTACAAAATGTTGCCAGAGCAGGCTTTTTGGTGGGACCAAACCAAAAGAGAGAAGTAGCCAGTGCAGTCCCAGTGTGGTGTCTCAGAGCAGTAGTGCCCTTTGTCTCTAGCAATAACCATACTCCAGGGTGGTAGCTGTTCCTATTTCCTTCACACACATGGGTGTGTTGGTACCCTCAGACCATGTGTGATCTGCTGCTTTGCTGCCTGCTGGGTAACTTTGCAAACAGCCTAATCTTCACTACTAAAAATAGTTGTCTGTTTCATCTTTCATCTACACTCCAGCATTGTTGTCACACAAACTCAGGCAGGTTATTCATGAGTGCAGTGATGACCTTGCCTAGTTGTCTCAAGAGTTTTTAAAACCCAAACCAATCCCATATCCCTCCCCAGAGTTTTTGTCTCTGCCAGGACTCTACACCAGGTTAAGTAGCACACAGTGCTTCTCCATATAAAAGTGTAATTTCTTATATCCTCTGCACACACAGGGAAGAGCAGCCTTTGATACTGCCAAATTGTTCCTGTAATCCAACTGTAAGTGGATTTACAACACTGAAACCAACACTTGATGTGAAGTCAGGTAGAATGAAACACAGAAGCTCTGTCTGGAGTTGAGCTCTTCCAAGGAATGACCAGGATCAATCTTCTGCCCCCCTGCTTTGCAAGGCCTCAGGTTAAGTCTTTTGTAAGTCACTTAAGGAAATGGCACACTTCACTCTGAAGTCAGGCCAAATTCTTATCAAAGTGACTGTTAGGTAATGAACACTTTTTGCTGTAGTCTTCTGGCATCATTTTTAGTTGGATGGCAGAGGTGCTGTTTTGGAGGATGGTTTGGACCAGTGGTTTCAGCAGGCCATACATAGTTTTTAGAATGCTGTTAAGTGTCATTTACCAGGACTTTTAACATTAAACTTTATTTTAAGTGTAGGTTGGTAACCTTGACTTTATTGGAGTGCAACTGATTTAGAATTACATTGTTTTTAATTCATCATGAGAGAACAAGAAGGCAGAAATAAGCTATCAGGGTTTTTTTTGCAATTAATAATAAAACTGCAGTATCTAATTTTTATAATAAAGTGAATACTGATTTACCTCTTTGTAGAGTTGCTTTTTTGTGATGTGATTGAGCAAAAAAAAAAAGGTGTTTATTGTATTAATACACTACAAAGTATATCAAAGTTTTCCAGAATTGTTTCACATTGTTTCATAGTTTCAGCATATTTGAATTAAGTAGAGAATGTCTTCTATATGAATCTGGTGAGATCTAATCCACTGATGATGTTGGTAGGGTGTAAGTCTGCATTTTGGGATGGCCAAGACCAATACTATCAAGAATAAAGTACCTGGTATTCATCATTATTAGATGAATGTATCTTTAAATTAGAACTAACTACAGTTCTGACCTTACTGTATTAGGGGAGAAAACTCTACAAATAAAAAGTAAAAATACATATCACAGTTCTCTGTTTCAGGGATAATGCCTGAAAACCAGTATTTTATCAATGTAGCAGCGTTATACAGGTATTTAATTACTAGACTTGGGAAGTTGAGAAATCCTGAAATGAGATGCCACTGGTTCTCCCAGCAGGTGGCAATAGACTAACAGAAAACAGTTATGCAGGGAACACAAGGAAAGTGTTTAAATCCTCATCCACTTTCTGAGGAAGGTATTATAATGTGTGGGAAATGAAAAGGCTTACATGCCCCAAATTAAAAGGAAAAGAGGATTTTATGTGATCACCTCCGAACTTACTAAGAGTGCACTGCTTTGTAGAATGGCACAATAATGTTCTAAAATAACCCATGATTCTGACACTGTTGGTGAGTCATTTAGGTAACCAACCTGTTAAAACTTACCTCCCATCAGGGAGGGAGTGATGGACATCCAGCAGAGGAGAAAAAGCATTTAACTGTCCTTCATTTGCCTCTTGATGTATTTCAATCTCCAGCATACTGAGCTGGGGGAAGAAGGAGTAAGGGGAAGACATTCAGAGTGATGGTGTTTGTCTTCCTGAGCCCCTGATGGAGCCCTGCTGTCCTGCTTGTGGCTGAACACCGTGGGAAGTGTGAATGCACCCCTTGGTTTGCTTTGCTGGTGTGCACAACTTCTGCTTTGTGTGTTAAACTACACCTCAGCTCACAGGTTCTCTCTCACTCTCCTGATCCAGTGCTCAGTTGCCAGTTGGGGTTAAACCAGTGCAACAGTACTTCTGAGTAATAGATTATTCAAAAATGCCATTTTCAGAGATGTGTCTATCTCTGAAAAAAGATTTAGGTTTCATATGGCAACTCACCATCTGCCACACAGGTTGAATGCCAGCATCCATCAAGATTATTTACTTTCCAAGGATCCAAGTCCAGGCCATATCTGCCTCATGTCTCTATGGACTCCCACTGGCAGAGAAAATGCCAAAAAGGATTAGGTTGCAAATAATTTAGTAATTCAGAAACCTCTTTTAGAGATTGTCACTGCTAGATCTGATACATTGACTCAAAGTGTGCCTAAGAGGTTTTGGGTGGTGAACTGCTCCAAGTATTTGCTATGAGACTTTTTCCTGATTCTCTGAAGCTGTAAGCATTAACATTTCAGATTGTCCAGAGTACCAGAGCTTGTCTGGAATGTTACCACTTCCACTGGAAGAAGGACACTAGACCAACCTATTCCTTAGTCTCAAAGCAACAGTCTGATGGTTTCCTGAAAAACTCTGAGATTCAGCTTAAACAAAGCAGCAGATGGAAATCATCATGGAAATTCTTTGTTGGAAAACAATTATGGCTCCAGAAATAATGGTTCTAGCTTTACCCAGCCAAAATCAAAAAGTAATTATTTGCAGGTTTATGTAAAGAACAGCAAAATTAAGACTTTACCAAAGTGAGTTTATAAAAACCAGTATGAACTATTTCTCACTGTTAAAATGCAGGTGCTAAAGAAGATACTTCAATGCTGGTTGCCAAACAGTTGCAGAAAAATCTATTAATATCATCATGCCAGAGTAGACTAACTTACATTTTAGGAATTATCTGTTTAATGTCTGCTGATTAAACAACATCATAAACAGTCCATTTATAAAGTCTGGGGATACATAATGCAGATTCAAGCAATCAAGTGTGCCTTCCTCTTTGTTACCTAGGGGTTACAAACACGAGGATTTCTCTGCTGAGAGGAGCTGCAGCTTTCCAGGGGTGAACTATTGCAGAAGGAGCCAAGTGGAGGTGGCTGCACTAATGCTGTGTGTGCTGCAGGTGATGTAAAATCCTGAGCTGTGAGAGAGCACGGTGTTACATGGGCACGTTCCCAAGGAAAGCTGCACTGAGTTTGAAGCCCGGAGTGTCTGTGGGTGGGTGGATTTGCACAGGAGGGTGTTGGAGCAGCAGGGTGACCTCTTCCTCCAGCACTGTGACACTGAAGTGCAGCAGCAGGTGCCACAGGGTGCCTCCTGCCCTGCAGCCCAGAGCCAGCTCCAGCACAGAGCAGGGATCCCAAAGGAGGGAAACACCTCTGCAGACACCATGGTAAGGGGGATGTGGGAGCACCATGGTGAGGGGGACTGGGTGAGGGGAGGCACAGGGGTCTGCTGCTGGTATCAGTAGGTTTTGCCACAGAACCCTGATCTCACACACCACTTACCATGTAAGAAGAAGAGAAAGCAGTGCAGAAAATCTCACTGAAGCATTATGGCATTAAATTTTCTTCAGAGAGTCCCCAATGAGTGGAATTATAAGACAAATTAGATGTGGAGTCTTAGCTGGTTGGTACTTTCTGTTGTGACCACATTTTCTCAACACCAGTTCATTTTCATATGAGATAAATGTGGTTTTTTTTAGAAATAAACCAAAACCAGTTATTTACCTTTGTGCCTGTTTTAAATTAATTTAGCCCCAATGGCTATATTGTCCATAGCTATACAGGATATTCATGTGTGTTTCTGGAGTCCAAGAATCCTTTTCTATATGTCTGCATTTAAGTAAGTGACAAAATGCCCTTTGTTTGTAAGTGTTGGGGATTTGTTATAAATTTGTAGAAATCTCTCAAAACTTCTTAGAATGTGAAAAAATCCATTTCACCTGGTATATCTCTAGCACAGAGTCTAATTTTGGTGCAGAGGAAGAACTTTCTGCCAGCTCATCTTGCAGGCAAAATACTTCCACAGCCTTCCCAGACCTAGGGAAGGGAATGTTTGTGGAACAGCTGGAAGAATAAAGTCTGCCTTTTCCAGTAAATCCTGGAGCCAGGTATTTTGTTTTTTTAAGAGTCAAAGCTGTCCCAGATTTAGTTTCACAAAGGATCTGGTCCTTTCTACTGTTTCTTTGTTAGACCAGTCCTGGTACATTGGTGGTGGGATGTGAAACATGAGTTTGGAATAGACTCCAAATTAAAATATCATGCAAAGATCAGTTTACTCTGACTGTGACGCTGGAGAAGGCCACT